AATGAGTCCTCGTGGCTCAACAAGACTAACCTGTATAAATAAAGGTTGAATGAATAAATAAATACTAAAATAAACTACTACTTACTACTTGTACTACTATCCCTACTTCGCGGTTTTTCACTTATCACGGGGCTTCAGGGTATGGATCCCCCATGATAAACGAGGCACTACTGTATGTACTTTTGGTATACAGTATTTGTGTCTTACTATGTGTGTTTATAGTATTATTCTAGTTTCTTCAATTTAAACTTTTTAAAAATAAAATATTAAAGTAATTTTTGCATGTGTCTATGATGGTACATGGTAATCTAAAGGATTTGAGCATGTCTGTACTGGTGGGGGTGGGGGAGTTAGGTGATGTAGAATCGGGGTGGGGGGTCTCGGGGTTGTTAGCCCATGGCACCAAACAGGCTAGGACCGCCCCTGCCTCGGGTTCTACTTCACACTTCGAACACGATGAATATGCACGGCCTGACTTTCCATGTTTTAGATTTGAGAATGGGTTGACTAACCTGCAGATGATGAAGGTGGTCTTCATTTTTTGAAAGCTCCTCCAGCTGTGAGTGCGTCCTCTGCAGAGCTGTGACTTCCTCCTTCAGTTTCCGAATCATCCCCTGGTCCTGGTCCTGGGACTTCCTCAGCTTCTCATCAATGTTTGATTTCAGTTTACGTTGAATCTCTTGTACATTCTCTATCAGGTTATTGAAAAGTGTCTCACTGTTTTCAATCTCCTTTTCTACTTTCACCTGTTTACAAAACAATCTTATTACTGGCAAAATTCACTATAATGTTATATTTTGTAAACAGGAAGTTTGAGTAACTACTCACTTTTCTCATTTCTGAAGAATTCATAAATTCCTCGATCTTCTCCGTTCTCTTGTCAATCATCAGTTTGATCCTTGCTTGGTTGGACTCAATATTTTCCTAAAACAGGAAATTATAGGAGAATAAATGTGGTTAGACCAGTTGTGTATTTTCAGGACCATCATTCAAGTGCAGTCTCACCTTCTGTTTGGCCCCCTCCACTTCAACAGGTACGGTCTCGTGGTCTCTATGCTCCGTCTCACAGCACAGCAGACAGATGCACACTTGTTCACTCCTGCAGAAAAACTCCAGGATCCTGCTGTGTTTCTCACAGACCCTCTCGTCCATGTTCTCCAGTGGCTCCACCAGCTTGTGTCTCATTAGGGAGGGGACCCTCTGGTGAGGCTCCAGGTGGGCTTCACAGTACGATGTCAGACACACCAGGCACGATTTGGACGCCCTGAACTTGTCTGTGCAGAGGTCGCACTTCACCTGCCACGGTGCATCGTTGCTTTCGAGCGCCTCACATTTTCTTCTCTTTATCTGAACTGAAATGTCTGCAATGATTTCATTTGTAGAGAACTCCGGCCTGACGTGGAACCTTTTGTTACATGCTGGACAGAGGTAAAACTCGCTGTCGCTCCAGTGTTGGTTGAGGCAATTCTGGCAGAAGTTGTGACCACACGGTGTGGTGACTGGTTCAGTGAAGACTTCCAGACAGATCGAACATCGGAACTGATCCTCTGGTAATGAAGCAAGGAGGCTGAATGCTGACATTATCTGACCTCTGTAGGAAAAAAAAAAAAAACATCTGAAGTTAAAGAGACATTTTTGAAGTAATGTTGTGTTAAATAAGTTTTTAACGATATTCTCATGGCCAGTGATTCTGGTGAACACATGGTTCTTGTCCTGCTCAACCTAACCGCGGCCTTTGATACTGTGGACCACATTATCACGCTTACAGCACCAAGTGGGTATCTGTGGTACTGCACTGAGCTGGTTTAGATCCTATCAGGCAGACAGAACCATGTCTGTCAACATAGCTGGTTCTGAATCCTCCACTGCTTCTTTGTGTTTTGGGGTTCCACAAGGCTCTATTTTAGGTCCCCTGCTTTTCTCCCTTTACTTGCTTCCTTTGGGATCAATCCTCAGGAAGCATGGGATCTTTTTTCACTGTTATGCTGATGATAGTCAGATCTATCTGCCACTAAATAATAAAGCTACCCCCTCAATTAGGTCACTTCTGTTGTGTCTTGAAGACATCAAAGCCTGGATGTCTTTAAAGTTCTTAAATTTTAATGAAAAGAAAACAGAAGTGTTGGTGTTTGGTCCTAGTGGCTCCTGTGGACCTTGCTCTCTTGATCTGTGTCCTCTGGCACCACATATAAAGAAAACAGTTTCTAACTTGGGTTTTAAAATGGACAGTGATTTTAAATTTGATTCCCAGACTGGAGCGGTGGTCAAGGTCACCAGCAGCTGGAAACAGTAATCCATGCCTTTGTCACCTCTCGGATGGATTACTGCAACACTCTTTACCTTGGAGTCAGCCAGTCCTCCCTCAGACGTCTCCAGCTGGTCCAGAACGCTGCTGCTCGGCTTCTAACTGAAGCTCATAAGAGGGAACACATCACCCCCACTCTGGCTTCACTTCACTGGCTGCCTGTTCATTTTAGAGTTCATTTTAAGATTCTTTTATTTGTTTTTAAAAGTTTAAATGGTCTTGCCCCATCCTACCTCTCTGAGCTGCTTCACCTGTACTTTCCTGCTCGGTGCCTCAGATCAGCTGATCAGCTGCTCCTGGAGGTGCTGAGGTCCAAACAGCCCTTTGTTGCAGCTGTGGTTGTTTTAAAGAGCTTTATAAATAACGTATTATTAGGCCCGAGCAGCAAAGCGCTGCGAAGGCCTATTGTAATTGTGTCGTTTATTATTATTATTATTATTATTATTATTATTAGGCCCGAGCAGCAAAGCGCTGCGAAGGCCTATTGTAATTGTGTCGTTTATTATTATTAGGCCCGAGCAGCAAAGCGCTGCGAAGGCCTATTGTAATTGTGTCGTTTCTTATTAGGCCCGAGCAGCAAAGCGCTGCGAAGGCCTATTGTAATTGTGTCGTTTATTATTATTATTATTATTATTAGGCCCGAGCAGCAAAGCGCTGCGAAGGCCTATTGTAATTGTGTCGTTTCTTATTATTATTAGGCCCGAGCAGCAAAGCGCTGCGAAGGCCTATTGTAATTGTGTCGTTTCTTATTATTATTCTTCTTATTCTTTTCAATGTTTAAGCGCTTATTTGGAGGGGTTAGCATATTTGAAACCTAGCCAAACTTTACCCAAAATTGTCCCCCGCGAGAAATAGTAGTATGATAATGGAACCAAAAGTGGGCGTGGCCAAACTGCTCTACAGCGCCCCCTAACGTGAGATATGACAACTGGTAAGTCCTAGAGAG